AGGGGGACGGTATCTTTTCGTTTGGATGGATTATCTTTCCATCCCACCCCCCTTTCCCGACTGGAATCAAAGGAATGTTTGCTTGCCTGCCTGCTTGCTTTCCAGAGACGAAAATGGACGGCGCACTGACCTGGCCCGCCTCAATGTTTGTTTGCTTGGATGGATCGTGCGTTGCGATTTGGCATCAGCGCCATGCCTAGGGATTGGCTTCCCTGTGCTTTGCCTGCCTGCCTGCCTGCCTGCCTGCCTGCCTGCCTGCCTGCCGGGGGGGGCACCTTGTCGCAGCGTTCGCACGCGCGCCAAGACCGACCAGCCTGACGGCGGGGGTGGATCCAATGGAGGGTCAGAGCTGGGCGGGGGACCCACACCCTAGACCACTCCGTTGGATAACGAAAGACCGGCCTAGGTCGAATCGAGCCCAGCATCTCGGATCTGAGGGGGGCTGCTGCTGCTCCCTGTCAAAGCTGACCCGAGAAAGAAAAAAAGAAAAAAGATCACCGTTGTTGCCCGGTTGGGAAGCACTTCAATTTCTTAATTCCTTCGCAGTCGCCAGCTCATCCGTAGTGCCAAGGCCAATGCAATGCCTTGCCTCGAGAGAGTTGGCAATTGCAATTGTCGCAAAATAATAATAATAAAAACGCGAGGGTGCTTCCTAGCCTCGGCTTCCTAGTCCTCGACTCCCCCATCTCCCAAAAGCAATCGAAATAGCGTCTAAACGCCCCTAGTCCGCTGAGGCGCAGCCTGCGCGACCAGCACGGCGCTTGTCCACTTGTCCATGTTGTGACACTTACGCCCGTACAAGACGCTAGCTAAGCTGGTGCGTCCCCCCTCCCCCTTTTTCTGCATGGCCCCCGGCTTGGCCCGCGGCCTGGTGTCGACTCGGAGGGGGAACACAAGGGATAGTGAGGAGCCGCGAACGTATTCGGTGCACTCGGCAGCTCAATTATACGGGGGCGCAATGTATAATGTACTGATAATACATGCAGCCGAGCCGAGTCTTGGAAGTATTGATCACGCCGCCCCGAAAAGTTGGATTCTTGGTTGCATCTTCTCTCAGCTCTGGCGAGATGCACCCCCCCAACGGGAAGGCTGGGTGACCATTGGGAGCGGGGCAGGGGTCCAGCAGCCCATCGCCTAAGATCAGCGGGGAGCGAGGAAGCCCAGCAGATGGGTAGATGATTCTTGATGACCGCTCGAACCCGACTGGCTGTGTTGCTGTTGACGAAACCGACCGGCAAGAAGAGAGAAGAAGAAAATTCAATCTGACCGCTGGCTAGCCTAACACCAATCGACCCCAAGCTCGTTCTAAACCATCCTCTCCAGCAATCAAGATATGCTTGCCAAAAAAAAAAAAAAAAAAAGGGACAAGATCTTTCACACCGGCCATGACTGTCGCCAAACGGCAGGTTGTCGTCTTTAGCTCGTCAGCTCGATGGGATTTTGATTGGCATCATGGATCTCCGTCACCCGAGCGGGTTCCCATCCTGGGATCGCCGATGCCTGGTTCTAACTCGACGGACAAGGGAGCTGCCTGCCCCAAAAGTTTGATTCGACGGATGATTAAAAAAAAGTAAAAAAGGATAAAAAATCCTTGGGGTCATTGACGTGGGGCCTCGACCGAAAAACCCCTGCATCCTCATAGCGCCCCTTCTTTTTTTTTCTTTCTTTTTATTTTTTAATTTTTTATAGCAGCACTAGGCTAGTATCTTCTCCTTTGCCTGTTTCCCCTGTTTCGTCGGAACCTAGAGGGCTTTCGCATTCCATAGTACCGGTTATTCAGCCAAACTCTCCAAGCTGAGGAGGGAGCGCTTGGAGACTGGTTTGTCCTGAAGAGCAGGACCAGCATCAATGATTCCTTCCAGTCGGGCCCCCCCACAAGCCCATGAATGGGAGGTCCCTGCCCTCCCTGTAAGAACCCTGACCTTAGTCTGACCAGCCCACCCCTGAGGAACAGGGGGTGGGAGAAAAATCACAAGCTGGGCCACTACAGCGGCAGTCCCTCCCCTCCCCAGCCCCGATCTTATGTGGCGCCCTTGTCGTCGAGTAGGAGGAGCAAATAAACATGACCTTTGCAACGGCTTGGGTAGGAGTGAGCCTCCGGCTGGGGCGCCGCCTCCCACCCTTCCCTGACCAGGCAGCTTTTCCCTTTCCCCCCATCGAAAGCAGGTACGGCCTACATGATGACCACTGCATGTGCTCCCGTTTTTGTCGTCGACGTCCACAAACAAACGCCACCAGGCCGGTTCGGTGGACCGGCCCAAAGTCTGAATCCCTTTCCGCGCTGCCGCTGTCAGCCCGCAAGGTCCGCCCTGTGGCCCCCTCCTCCTCATCCCTCCCCCGTCTTTCTGTGCTGTGCAGTTCTGGTGCGTGCAGCAGCACAGTAGCAGCAGCAGCAGCAGCAGGTAGCGTCTCCTCCTTTCAGCTTGCAGCACGAACCCGTCCCGGGCCCTCGGCCGTCCGCCAACGAGCAGCCGCCCTGCACGAGCCATCACCCCGTCACCCTGTCATCCCGAGGCAGGCATATCCCTTACCGGCGAGCTGCCGCGAGCTGCCATCCCATCTTTTTCTCTTTTTTTCTTTCTTTTTTTCGTTATTAAATATTATTATTATTTTCCCTCCCACCTCTCGGCTCTGCGGGTCCGCCCTCCGCTCGAGGGTGGTTTGCTGCATACGCCCATCTGTAACCTCCCTAACCACCGAGTCGGGCCAATGTATACAAAGGCGGGCATGTGCGTTCGGGAGAGGCGCCAACACGCAACCGCCACATCGTCGTCAACCACGGCAGTAGCCCAGTAGCCCCCTACAAGCCCCCCTCCCCTTCCCAGCTCGCACACGACTCAACTCCTCCTACAGACTTTTCTGCAGCCTCGGCAGCCACCTCGAAAGCATCGGCGGCGCACCCCCTCGCAGTTCTGGCCGTGGCTGCAAACCGTTGTAACCATACACAGAGCCTCTCGGCCTCCATCGCCACCAGCACGACTACCACGAGCAGCAACGGCCCTGGAACCAGTTAAAGTTGCATTGCACTGCGCCAATCCCGCTCGGTCAGGGAAAGGAGACGTCGTCTGGAACTGTCCTCGTCTGGACCACCGTCTCTTTTACTGCTTGACCTTCACTTGGCTCCCTCACCCCTGAATCCACCTGGTTGGGCTTTTTGCTGCCAAACACTCGCTCTCACTCTCGCCCGCTCGCTCAAAAAAACAAACCAAAAAAAAAAAAAAAACTAGGGTGCTTGTTTGAGTCACTTCGTCATCACCCTGGTGGCCGAGACGTGGGGGCTTTGACTCGGGGGAGGAGCGCACCATTTCCTCTTGCGTAAACCTAGAGCTCGAATGCGCTCCAACCGACTGCGTCACCGAAGCGTGCTGTCCTGTATTTTCGTGTGCTGTGAGCCGTATTCTGCGCATCATTGCAACCCGCGCATCTCCAAGCAATACGCAACCGAAGAGTTTGTGTTGCGAACTGCGGGCAGAGAAGAGGCGGACCAGCTGGCCCTCAATCTCGGGGCGCAACAGTATATAGAGGAGAACAGGTACTAGGGTTCTCTCCCCGAGGCTCGAAAGAGGGGAAGCCAACAAGAAGCAATAGGGAGCATCAAAAGGTGCCTCGATCGTTTTTTTGTGGTGGACCAACGGCTGGCTAAAGTTCG